ACTGTATATTCTGCAATTATTGTACTAACATCATCATTTCATTTTGCATAACTGCACATACCTTTTGTCTGTGTTTATGCATTTATATTATACAATAACATAGAAAACATACATAATGTATATTGAATATATTCTACAATTGTCATAATAATATTATAATTTCATTCTGCGTAAGTGCACATACCTTGACACCTTTTATGCAACCTAAAATCTGACTTATCTCTTTCTAGATTATTTCACGTGTTTACGTATCCACGAAAAATCAATGACGCCATTTTGAGGTGCATACTTATGTTAATAAGAAACTGGTGTTATTGGTATTATAGTAGATGAGTATATTAGAGACTATGAGCATATTCTGAAGAGAACTGTGCGTTATTAGACGTGTGCCTTGCATACAAAGTAATTGATTACAAAACTGATTCTCAACCATTTCAGATCATTCTGAAAAGGTAGTAGTCTACGATAAATTAGTCGCTGCGTCTAGACTTCATTTCAAAGGAAGCGTCATGACCTCTAACTGTCACCATTGTTACTGAGAATTTAAAGAGAACCATTCCTGCTTTACAAAGAATGAAATACAGTGTCGTAAACTGGCATGTTTGAAATGTAAGCATTAAAGTGGTAGATGCTTTTGTACTAATTAACACAGTCATGCTACGTTCCGTATTAATCACACATGAGCGTCGTTAATTACAGTATACGTTGTAGAATAGTATCTTTCAAGTTTACAAGAGTTCATCGACAGTTGTTTGAAGGAAATTAATTTCCTATGCCATTCTCGTTACTAAGTAATTGCTCTGTCAAAAATCAGAAAGTCAAAGTCCAAGATGCTGGAGACCTACCGTTGGCTACAAACTTGTTCCCCGACAAGAAAAATTCACAGTCTCAACCATATTCGAGAGACTACGTTTAACATTTCCTACTTTTATGTGGACAAATTGTACAACTATACGTAAGAATAAGGGAACAAACCGTTATAGAATATTTGAATGGAACCAAGAGAGGTCCCCAGTTTCGCCACAGGTACTTTTCTCTACAAGGGGAATAGATACCTAATCTCTTCACAGAGCACCAAACGGATCTAGTTGAACTGCATTATTTTGTGGCTGTGCAGCAGCCTGGGGGTGTTGCTGCTGAGGTTGTTGCTGGGGTTGTTGCTGCTGAATATTAGCACCCATCATGGGATTCGCGTTGGCCATCATCATTGGCGCAGCTCCTCCTGCAACCATCATGCCACCGGGACCTCCAGGCATTGTGCTCATCATTGGCCTCATGCCCTGCATGCCCATCGGCATGCCTTGCATTCCCTAGGGACACCAGAAAGCCGCCCGATCAGATCCAGCCTGTACTTCTGGAATGTTTACCATTTCGAATCCAGCTGTTTTCCTGTTCCCTTCTTTTGGTATCCAATTTCTCGACCAAATACAAGTATACAGGGTATCTTAGACTATCGTTTCTTCTCTCGCATTTTGGGGATTCTCTATCGGATCTGAATTCTCAGTTATTTAGAATTATTTGAATACGCGCAAAGGAAACTGCTGCAATCACAGTGTAACGTGTATTTACAAGTGTTTCTATGTACAAAGAAGATCGTGGAGTGTATTAGATAATATTGTAAAACGTTCTATGTGCAATATTCAAGTAACACACAAATAGATGCAAAAAATCTAGGGCTAGATTAAACCAAACAACGCGTGTGCATCAAATGTACAAAATTAATGCAAAAGCAGGGATTCGGGATGCGACATGACAGTGGACGTTTCAATTTCACAGTGTGGATATGTCGACTAATCGTTTACTTTCAAGTGTTGCTCCTACGGCTGATCACTTGTCGATACACACTTACTTTCATCGATGATATAGCAACTAATGAATCAAGGTGAAAGCGTATTCTTTGACTAATTTCACTGGCACGATGGAACGTAAAGGTTAGTAAGTGACATTTATTAGTAGACTACGGATTTTATGCATTTCATACGTGTGTGTATATAGAAAATATACATAAAATATACACAATATGCTAAATATATACTCTACAGTTATTGTGATAGTATTGTCGTTTCATTCTGCATAAGTGCGCACACTTTTTCATTACATTTATGCATTTATGATGTACAATAGTATAAAAAACGATTACACTTTGGCTCAGGAGACCATTCTTTTCAGGTTTCCAAGGACCGGCAGATATTTAAATGCTGACACCGAGTTCCTTTATAAATCCTGTGTTATCGGAATGGTTTCTCTAAATATAATAAAGTTATATTTAGCATGTATTAATTATAATTGTATAATAGATGCACAAAATATACATAAAATATACACAATATGCTAAATATATACTCTACAGTTATTGTGATAGTATTGTTGTTTCATTCTGCATAAGTGCGCACACTTTTTCATTACATTTATGCATTTATGATGTACAATAGTATAAAAAACGATTACACTTTGGCTCAGGGGACCATTCTTTTCAGGTTTCCAAGGACCGGCAGATATTTAAATGCTGACACCGAGTTCTTTTATAAATCCAGTGTTATCGGAATGGTTTCTCTAAATATAATAAAGTTATATTTAGCATGTATTAATTATAATTGTATAATAGATGCATAAAATCCACAGTTTGTTTATTACACACAGCACTGTGAAATCAGACATGAGACCAAGCGACACGTTTACTTCAGTCGGTGATATCTTTCTATTTTTTCTTTTACTCAAAATGCAACTTACCAATGGTGCGGAGTGGGGAGGGAAGCCCAGGGTAGTTGGAGGAAGCTGCGTCATTCCTTGACCCTGCAACAGCCGGTAGCATGCCGTATGCCATGCATGCATTGTACGACTAAGTGTGCCGATTGACAACCACCTTTCATATATATTCTAATTCTAAAGGGTACCAGAAACTTTGTACTAGTCTAGGATTGGTATAGAGAAGATCCTGTGGCAGTCTTTCGCGGAGTATAGTGGCTGAAGGTCTACCAGATTGCTAGCTTTTCATATATTTTCATTATATTTCTGTGTAATCCAAACCAATTGGAAGATTGCGATGCTAATCCTTTCGCTTATAGACATTTCGTTCTTTAGAGTTTGCTAAATGACTACATTTTAAATTATACTGGTGGTTACACTTTGGGTGGTCCAGATACGAGCTACTATTAGGTTGTCCAGAAAGTTGGTGCCAATTTCTAAGAAACATTCAAATACACGTCTCAATTTTAATATATATTTATTGAATTACATAGGTGCCATTTTGTTCCACAACCTTTCCACCTTTCGAGGGATGTATGCATGTTATTTGTTTTCAACCATTTCGACATATTCAGACCTGTACCACCTACCAAAAATCGACATGGACTTTCCGGACAACCCAATACTTTCATTTCAGTACTACATTCGGTACAGTATCTATTCGCTCAAAATGGATAATTTTAATGTTATTTACTTCTAAAAACTATCTCGAAGGTGAAGACTTCCACGAACCAATTTTACTATATACCTACTATATAACCAATTTTACTATATAATATATATATTATACTATATAAATTTTACTATATTACTTTTTCTGCTTTAAAGATTCCTACTCTATCTGAAAATGTATAATATCGAACGTGGTTAATTGAACACGTCGGAAGCGAAAGGGTTGCTCGAGCCCAATCAATTTAAATTTCACTCGAGATTCTTAATTTTGATTTATGGGTCGTTGATCGTCAACCACCGTATACACCACCCCTTCCGCAAAGTGTGCAACTAGTGAACCATACATAGTATTATCATAAACAGTGAAAGTGTGATCTGTATGTCCGATAGCCTAACGAGCGATAAAGCAAGCGTGCTAAACTGTCCAGTCCTATATCCACGATTAACCTACGGTCGACAAAAAATACCGCCTCTTCCGTTTTCTTTCACGGTTCCACGTATCCGACTTTACTTACTTAATCACAGCGAAACAAAAATAGAACAAGCTTATCGTCTCCGGTAACGGGTTATATCAACGTCTATAGTAAACATTAATCTGATGACGAGTAAAAATAGCATGCTGATATTCCATGATTCAATGTCAAATAGTAAACATTAGATAAGATAAGACACGTAATATGGTACAAGTGATGTGAGGGGTCGCGATACAATATCTTAAAGGGAGATATAGTGCGGTAACGATCAAGAACAACGTGCTGGTTGTGAAATCAGTCCTAGGTTCGTGGGTCACGGCGATGGTCCACTCACCATTGGACGGTAACCAGCGCCCGTGGTGGCAGCCATCGGCTGGGGTGTCCATCCAGCTGGACCACCCGCTTTCGCTGCATTTTTTGGCGAATTCCACTGCATTCCCCTAAAAAGAACAACGTCGACTTAGTATCTTGTCGCTAACATTCTCAGCTTTTAATATTAAGAAAGTAAAGAATGTGGTACATTAAAAAGTACTACGCAGAGGAGTCAACGTACACTAATTGTTAACAGTATTACATCTTTTAGTTGGGAGACAGGTTTAAATTACACAATTGTTCAATCGATACAACTAACAAGTAAGAATTCAAATACAAAACTATTATTTTCATTTAAAAGATGGTAAAATATAGCTTGAAGTCCACAAAATGCACCATCTGCTCCTCCTAAAAGTTGTATATTACCACCAAACGAGTCCTCGATTAGGCTACTCTTTGTTAAAGACAACGACTCAACTGTCACTCACTTCACTTGTTGCTGCGCGCTCTTGTTAATGGTCAGATTCTGGGCGAGGCTAGCGAGACTGCTGTCCAGATCCCCGGTGAGAACCTTGCCACTGGCCGTTGTGTTTGGCTGCTGTCCTGCTGCTGAAATATTATTATCTCCAGGTACAGTGGTAGGCATCAGCACCGAGCCCATGCTGTCAAAACCTAAGCAACGTCTACATCAGCCAAAGCCCCACAAGCAGAACCCAAAATTGCGCGGTTACTAGTACATCGATGGGGAAACGATCGTGTAACTTAAGTAAGAAAAGCATGGAACTCAGACATACGTACTTTGCGGTGCTGTTACCAGAGTAAAAGATACAAAAAAAAGAAACAGAGTAATATAAACTATCTGATACGAGATGCAATAACAAGCATGTAATTGAGAATGTACTTTCTTTTTAACACTAAACCTACGGTACCTACGCTAAACCTAAATATTTTACATGAAACTATACAGAATAATGCACATGAGAACCGTATACAAAAATTTGAAAACAGTTAGTTGACCAGTAGTAGTACATGTAGGGTTCATCCTAATCTTAAGTATCGATAGCTAATTTCTAAGACGATAACTAAAATAGCAGAGAACATTTCAGCACAGAGTTCAGGAATACTATTTAAATGTACATATAACAAATAATTTCAGTTAAACGATAGGAAAAGTGTTCCTACTTACATGCTTGCCACTGCATACTTTTTAAATTGTGTATAACGAAGATTCCATGCTTTCTGACATCAGAGAAAATGCGAACGTGTACCATAATACCCCCCTTAAATAAAGTGAATCGGTAACATAAAATATAATAAAATATAATACTACAAAAGAAGAATACAAGAAGAAAGAAAACGAAGGAAAAATTGTACGACAAATGAAATACACAGCGCAAAGAATGAATCTATAAAAATGTGGTGAGAGAGTATGGTAAGCAAAGAGTACGTTATCCTATTCGAGTCTACAGCTTCAAGTTTCCATGCCATAAACCAAGATTAATACATACATAGACAAATAACGATCTACGTTCTCGTGACAGATTCTACTCAAGAATAAAGTAGAATCAGTGATGCTGTACTTTCATGGTGTATGCGCTACAACTTCGCCTCTGTGTTATAAGAAGTAAAATGATCTAACAAAAGTAAAGTATTTCGTGGGTAGTATGTCGTCACGAGGAGACACGATGCGACACGGTGTCGACCCTAATTTTCAAAGTCACCCTCGTAGACCTTTAAGCTTCCGAGCATCACCGACTCCTCTCGCATGCAAACAGCAGAAGAACCATCTATGGCAGTGTGACCAGATTTGCTGCAATATTCGCGCATGCGTGGCCGGATTCTGTTTCCACTCGCGCAATACCGTGATTACAGCCAACGACGCTTGGTCCCAATTCACTATACTTGTATCGTATTCGCTATACTAAAACCAGTGCGCATGCGCAACTGAGAGCAGAATCCGGCATCGCAGCGTGCATAGCCAACGTTACGAATGCCAAGTTCCAGGGAACCCCGACGAAAGGGTACGTCGAGTAACTGTCGCGTTTCTGAGTGTTTCCAAGTGTTTCCAACTATTCAGGTCTTTAGGGATGAACGTGGAGAAAAGATACGAGAATCCAGAGACCTTTGGAATCTATTTTGCCTCCACGTTCCAACGAATTTATTCCATAGTTACCAATGCAAAATGTAGCAACGTTACTATTTCCAAACGAATCAACGTCAATAGACGTTTCTTTCTAATATTTCACTGTTACTATTCTAAATAAGATTCCAATAAAACTCTCTGCAATCTACTAGCGATACATAATTAATCGTTGCTTCATTTTACAGACACTACACGCTACTCGTACATAATAATATTCACTTTTCACTCTATGTAATACGTTCAATATACCTCGTATACATATACGATTCAATTCTATGTGTTTATCCTAAATCTCCTAGGTCTGGGTTAGGCCTAAGTCTCCTAGATCTGGGTTAGCTCTAAGTCTCCTAAATCTCCTATGTCTCACAGGGAACGTACATCTAACAATTTGTGAGGAATCAAACAAGTAGAGTTGGTAAGAGGTAATAATTCCATTGCTTCCACCCTGATGTCGCTTGCAGTGGCTTCCTAAGCTGTCGAAGAGTCTCCTAAGTCTATCAAGTCTTCAAACCTCATAGCTTTGCGTTACGTCTCCCAAGTGTTCTAAGAGTCTCCCAAAGCTACCAAAAGTCTCCCAAATCTCTTACGTCTCCCAAGTTTACCAAGAGTGTCCCAAATCTCCCAAGAGTGTACCAAATCTCCCAAGAGTCTTCCAAATCTCTTATGTCTCCTAAGAGTCTCCCAAGTCTCCTACGTCTCCCAAGTCTCCTAAGAGTGTCCCATATCTCCCAAGAGTCTCCCAAGTTTCCTAAGAGTCTCCCAAATCTTCCAAGAGTCTCCCAAGAGTCTTCCAAGTCTTTTACGTCTCCCAAGTCTC